AGTGAGTTACGCAGGAAATAACTTCATCAGATACATAGAAGATACCATTTCAATGGCTCAGACATTTCAATGGCTCAGTTGTTTGCCTGGGAGGCCTATGACAAGGACTCAGAAGTGCATCTGCAGGCAGATCCTACAAAACTAGAACTGTTATATAAGTCCTTCAAAGTAAAAACAGACGACTTCAAAGAACAGCAGAAACAAAGCATCCTGGAAACATATGGCGGCCAAGAGCACCTAGCTGTTCCTTCAGCTGAGTTGCTCTTAGCCCAGACAGAACAATACGTAGAGTACTGGAGGCACAGGGCTGTCATCTAGGGGCAGGAGCTGGTGGTGGCCTGCTTCAAGTATGAGGAGGATGTGAAGATTCACAACCACACACACATCTAGGGAATCTTATTGGAAAGAAGGCTAATAGGGATACAAATGCTGTCACTTTTTTCAAGTATTCCTATTACACTGGATAAGCTAGAAAGGAGACTGCTAACTCCAAGTAGTGTGTGTGATAAGTGATGAGACTGGAGGAGAAGAATCGGTAAAGAAACCACAGACACTCGTGGAGACACACCAAGAAAAACTAAAGAGAAGAAGCAGAAGAAGAAGAAGCAGCAGCAGCAGCAGCAGCAAAAGCAGCAGCAACACTGTAAGAGCAGTTCCAACAGTGATGATGAAGAGAAAAAACATGAGAAGTTGAAAAAGGGACTGGGGCTGGCTTAGTGGTAGAGTGCTTGTCTAGCATGCATGAAACTCTGGGTTCAATTCCTCAGTATCATAAAAACAGAAAAAGCCAGAAGTTGGGCTAGGAAGGTAGCTCAGTGGTAGAGTGCTTGCTTTGCATGTATGAGGCCCTGGGTTCGATTCCTCAGCACCACATAAGCAAAAAGAAAAAAGCTGGAAGTGGCACTGTGGCTCAAATGGTTGAGCTGAAGAGCTGAGAGACCACCTAGGCCCTGAGTTCAGGCCCCATGACCAGCAAAAAAAAAAAAAAGCCAGAAGTGGCATTGTGGCTCAAGGGGTAGAGTGCTAGGCTTGAGCAAAAGAAGCTCAGGGACAGTACCCAGGCCCTGACTTCAAGCCCCAGGACTGGAAAAAAAAAAAAGAAAAGAAAAAGGCACTGAATGCTGAGGAGACTTACCTGCTCTGTATCAAGGATATCATGCAGATTGGTGAGAGAAAGCTGTGGAGGAGGAAATGGAGGCCTACAAAATGAAACCTTGGAGGCCAGACACCAGTAACTGGTCAGAGAAGGTCATTAAGGATACAGTCCAGCATGCTTCCGTGGCTTCCCACTGATCATCAGAGATAGAAAATACCTGATCTGTCCTTGCTGTCTGACTTTAATAAAGCTTTCAGAAGTCTCAAAGAAAAATAAATAGAGGCAATATCCTAAGGAGAGAAAATTGTTCCCTGCTGAATCACTAGATTGAAGGTGGGGTAGGAAAGCCTATCCTAGGATAGTATATAATAGAGTAAGTCCTTTAATACCGTCATATGAATAAAAGAATAAACAAATGAATGTGGCTAGAGTGTTAGTGCTCTGGTGAGCTTGGCTGAGGAATTAAGTCTTGGAAGTGGGAGGATGGAGAGGTAGCTGGGATGTAACTCCAGGAGCCATGCTATCAGAGGAAGTCTTGGTTTACTCATTCAGCCATTTATTGTTTTGAAAGTATTAGTGCCAGGCACTTGGACTTGCTTATTGCTGGATAATTACAAACTAGATGATCCCTATGAGTGAGAGCTGGCAGGCAATAAAGGAGAGCTATAGTCCATGCAGGTTCCTAGGTGACCAGTGGCAGGCCTCACTATGGATTTAGGATTCTGTCCCAAAGAAATGAGGAGCCCTGGGAGATTTCCAGTGGGAGTGGGGGTAGGGCAACTTGATAGAGTGCATATTGCAGGGAGTAGCTCTAGAGCAGGAACCAGAGAGGCTGTACAGGAAGGGAAAGGGAGCTGGGAGGCTCTGACATGTATCCTGCTGGTGTGTGTGGGGAGGTTGATAACTTGGGAGAGGACTCTGGATCCATCAGACCACCCTAGGACAGAGAGGTCAAGGAGCCCTTGACACAAATACCAGAGCTGTTCGGCTTTGTCTCACTGTTCCAGGCTGGCTTCCACAGGAGCAGGCTGTGGAGCCAGAAAGTGTGTAGTCAATCACATTTCGAAGGCCACAGTGGTGTGGCTCCAGGTGGCTTGCCTAAGATGGCTTCTGGGATTCTCACCTTAGTCCTGGTGCCTAGCAAGGGTCCACGAAAGAGCCCACTGGGATACAACAAGAGGCCTCCCAGAGATCTTGCTGTGTCTCTGTTTCTCAAAAATGTCATGGAGTGGTATGTGAGAAATGTATATACTATCTTTACCCTGAAACCCTTTTCCTAGTCACCTATAATGTTCAGGGAGGAACAGATGAAGATGAAAGAAGTCTTTTGGGTTTTGGAATACAAGTGGGTCACTGTGTGACTACTTGGAAGTGGGCCCCCTCTCTCTGCTCCTTTCCTTGTAAATAGGGAGCAAAAACAGAAAATTTAGGAAAACTGCTTTGCTTTTTTGTTTTTTTTTTGCCAGGCCTGGAGCTTGAACTCAGGGCCTAAGCACCATCCCTGAGCTTCCTTTTGCTCCAGGCTAGCACGCTACCACTTGAGCCACAGGGCTACTTCCAATCTTTTCTGTTTATGTGGTACTGAGGAATGGAACCCAGGGCTTTGTGCATGCAACCCAGGGCTTTGTGCATGCTAGGCAAGTTCTCTACCACTAAGCCACATTCCCAGCCCCATAGGAAAAGTGCTTTCTAAGTAATTATCTTTATGTCTAGCATGGGATGCAAATGGGTGCTGGGGGGAGTCATACATTGCTTTGGCAGCAAATTCTACCAAGCTTTTCCTATGTGCCAGATCATATGTATATACTGACCCATTTGATCCTCAAAATACCTCAATAAGATGAGCACAATTATATACACAGGAAAACTGATGCCCAGAGAGGTGAAAGGACATGCCCAAGTTCACACAGCCACTATGTAGCTTAGTGAAGATACAAGTCCAGGTAGCCTGTCTTTTCCTCAGAGGATCTGAGAGTACAGGGCGCTGGCTCTAGAGGAGATAGTCAGGGCTGGGGGGCATGGCTCAAGCAATAGTGCACCTGTGTAGCAGGTGGAGGCTCTTAGTTCAAACCCAGTACTCGCCTCTCCTCTCCCCCGGCCCCTTCCGCTCAAAGAAAAGCATATAAGGAGCTACTCAAAAGGCTGAGATCTGAAGATTGCAGTTTGGAACCAGCCTGGACAGACAAATCAGAAAACTTTTTTCTCCACTTAACTACCAAAAAGCCAGAAATGGAGGTGTGGCTCAAGTGTGCCAGCTGTGAAAAAAACAACTGAGAATCTAGAGTTCAAGCCCTAGTGCAGCACACACACACACACACACACACGCACACACACGGAAAAACGCATGAAAGCTTTGACATAGGTATGTGTATGTGTGAGGGGGGCGTATGCTTCAACCTGGAAGAGATTCTTGTTTTTTGTATAGGTGGTTGGAGCTGGGGTACTAAGCTCTCTAGCAAGCAGTGAAGTCCAAGGGCACTGAGCAAGCAGCAGAAGTTCAAGGGCAATGAACTGTGAAGGGCCACCCCTCCCCCCATTTCCCATCAGGTAGGTAGAGGACTCTGCCCAGGTGGGTATGGCTTAGATAAGACTGACCACCTGCTTGGTCTTGCCCATTAGCCACCTTCTCATTGCTTGCAGCTGCTCTTCTACCCCAACTTCACCACCTCCACCCCACGGAGTTGCACCAGGAAAACTCAGAAGCCTGCTCCATTTGCCCTGCACCTGGCTGCTACCGCTTAAAGAGGGTAGCCCGTGTCCCTGGTGTTCTGGCTTCTCATCCCACAGGCCTTGCTAGCTTCATCTTGCTAAATTAACACACAATCCTCATCTTCCAAAAGACTGAGGCCGACCTTCAGTAATATGCTTGGGGAAAGCGAGTCCCAGCCTGGAGGATCAGCAGATTCCGCGGCTTAAATATTTCACGATTTCACTTCACCCTCGCGTTCACCTGATGAGATGGGTACTTGAGATTATACCCTATCTTACAGACCAGAACAGGAGAGAGCTGCCAGCCAGAAGTGACTGAGCCTCTATAAATCAAAACGAAGGACGTGAGTGAAAAGGACTGACGTTCCCAGGTGGGAGAAACAGCCAGGGTAAAAGGTCAAGAGGAGGAGCCCGGGTATGTTTGTCGACCTGGCAGTGGCCTGGGTGAGGCCGCCGCGACTCGGTGAGTTCGGAGAGTGGCAGAGCAGGCGAGGCCGGAAGGGGCCTGAACCAGGGCACTGAGCGCCAAGTACAGCTGCTGGACTTTACCCTGGGAAATTCCGAGCAGAAGCCTCTGTCTGCTGGAGCCGTCAGCAGGGCCGCGTCTTTGTTCTCGTTCCGCCCTCTGCTCCTAAACTTTAGAATCATCTCTAGTAAACATCCACAGAGTGGATCTTTTGGAGTCATTTCTCCCCGCCCCCGGCACCCCGGGGGAAGCGGAGGGCCCCGCCCCAGTGCACGTGCCCGCGACTGTGAGCGCGCACGCGCACGCCGCCCCAGGGACGTGACTCGTGGAACGTCCGCTTCGGGCATCCGCGGCGGCGGGGAGTGCGAGGTGCCTTGACGACGTGCGGCTAGATTGCGCGGCCGTCATCGTCAGGTTTAGAGCTGGTGCCCGAGGCTCTCGATCCTACCGTTGGAGAAGTTTCCACAGTTTCCAGGAGTTTCCATAGGCGTCCTAAGGGCTTTCCTCTGGCGGCGTCGCCGCTCAGGCATTTAGTTAACCACCCATTCGCCCTTCAGGGGTCCTCGCCGTCCGCCCCACAGCTAATTAAATGACGGACGCAGTAGCCAAGGAAACTACATGATTGACAGCCATGATTACCAACCAAGTTACGGAAACTCCAGTCTGGGCTCGACCGGCGCGTGGCCGGCAGTCCAATTAAAAAAGTGGAAGCACCAAAGGGGGCGGTAACGGGACGGCCTAGGTTGTGGCGGTTCCCCGGTGATTGCGCGCTGGGGGCTGAAGCGTCTACGGTTTTCGGTCGAGGCCATGACGGGGCTTAGCAACACCGTTGACAGCGTGATCGCACCCCAGCAGAGGGAGCCCTTCGGTCTCAGACGCGGCGCGGCGTAGAGGCAGGTCGCTGTTGGAGAGAGCCCCCTCGAAACCCTTCAGCGGGTGGGGGGAGGGGCGGCAGTCGACGCGCGAACCCCGTGTGCGCTTGCGCCGGCACCTCTGCCGACCCGGTCCACACGCTCGCGCATGCCCATAGCGCTCGGAGCCGCGGTGGCCGTCAGTACTGCGCGTGCGCGCCTAAAAGCCCGCTGAGGAGCGGCGCTGGCGGACGTCGGGCGGGCGGGCGGCCCGTGACGTCGTGAGGAGCGCTTTAAAGTGCGGGCCGGGCGTCTGAGGGTCTGACGAGGAGTCGGGTCGTACCTCTGCCGCCACCCTCCGCGGCATGAGGCGCGGTCGGCGCCCCTGCCTCCGGGGACGTGGAGAAGGTGGAGGAGGAGGAAGTCCCGTTGTCTGTATCGTTGCATGACCCGCCGCCGCTGAGGCCCTACCCCTCGAAACCTCCCTCCGGATTCTCGGGCTACGCATGGGGGCCCGGCACTGAGGACCCCCTTCCTTCTGGGGGCTCCGGGCCCGTCTCCCAAGAGCCATGCCCGCCCGCCCTGGAGGACCCTAGAGCAACGTCGCGGGGGCCATGGCGGCAGCCAGCGGCTACACGGACCTGCGTGAGAAGCTCAAGTCCATGACGTCCCGGGACAACTACAAAGCCGGTAGTCGGGAGGCCGCGGCAGCCGCCGCCGCCGCCGTGGCCGCCGCAGCCGCAGCCGCTGCCGCCGCCGAGCCCTACCCGGTGTCCGGGACCAAGCGCAAGTACCAGGATGATTCGGACCCGGAGCGCAGCGACTACGAGGAGCAGCAGCTGCAGAAGGAGGAGGAGGCGCGCAAGGTGAAGAGCGGCATCCGCCAGATGCGCCTCTTCAGCCAGGACGAGTGCGCCAAGATCGAGGCCCGCATCGACGAAGTGGTGTCCCGCGCCGAGAAGGGCCTGTACAACGAGCACACGGTGGACCGGGCCCCGCTGCGCAACAAGTACTTCTTCGGTGAGGGTTACACGTACGGCGCCCAGCTGCAGAAGCGCGGACCGGGCCAGGAACGCCTCTACCCGCCCGGCGACGTGGACGAGATTCCCGAGTGGGTGCACCAGCTGGTGATCCAGAAACTGGTGGAGCACCGCGTCATCCCCGAGGGCTTTGTCAACAGCGCCGTCATCAACGACTACCAGCCCGGCGGCTGCATCGTATCTCACGTGGACCCCATCCACATCTTCGAGCGCCCCATCGTATCTGTGTCCTTCTTTAGCGACTCCGCGCTGTGCTTCGGATGCAAGTTCCAGTTCAAGCCAATCCGGGTATCCGAACCCGTGCTTTCCCTGCCGGTGCGCAGGGGGAGCGTGACTGTGCTCAGGTAACCTACCTGGGAGAAAGGGGAGGCTCTCACCCTGCTGCCTTAACTACACTCCCGGGCCAGGAGATGGTGGCCAATAATTGGAGCCCAGGCTTTTTTCTTTTCTTTTTAGTCGTACTGATCCATATTTCTATTTGTTAGTTGGGGGGAGCAGGGGAAGGGGCATGAGTTTAAAACAGTATAGTGAGAATCAGGGAATTCTGAGGTGGAATTTGAGCCGGGCACTGGTGACTCACGCCTGTAATTCTGGCTACTCAGAAGGCTGAGATCTGAGGATCATGGTTCAAAGTCAGCCCGGGCAAGAAAGTCCCCGAGACTCTTATCTGCAATTTACCACCACAAAGCCGGAAGTGGAGCTGTGGCTCAAAGTGGTAGAGCGCTAGCCTTAAGCAAAAAAGCTCAGGGATAGTGCCCAGACCCTGAATTCAAGCCCCAGGACCGACCAAAAAAAAAAAAAGGTTTGAGATTGTTACAGGCTTATTCTAAAAGCATTTTTCCAGAGGACTAAGATGTAAAGCGTCATTCTTGTGGTTCTTGGCCTCCATTTCCAAGTCCACACTGAAAAGGAAACAAAAGGAAAAAAGTTGAGCTTACTGTCTAAAAAAGTTTTTCCTGTTCTGTTCTTGCTTTTCTTGATTGAATGTTCATGGGATCTTTAACAGAAAATACAGAAGCCCTATGAGTGTTTATTTGATATGGGTTTTCCATTCTCTGAAGGGAGAGTGACTTCCCTGAACGATTTAGTGGTCTGGTCTGGAATAAAGTACAGCATGTTCTTAAAATTCTCCCCTCTTAGTTGCTGGCAAGTCCTTTGTTGTTTTGTTTTGTTTGCCAGTCACTGGGCTTGAACTCAGGGCCTGGGCACTGTCCCTGAGCTTCTTTTGCTCAAGGCTAGCACTCTACCACTTTGAGTCACAGCTCCATTTCCAGCTTTTTCTATTTGTGTAGTACTGAGGAATTGAACCCAGGGCTTCATGCATGCTAGGCTAGTCAAGCACTCTACCACTGAGCCACATTCCTAGCCCCTGGCAAGTCCTTTATAAGGATGTGTTGCCTGTTGTTAAGACTCAGTAAAAACAAAATACAGCTGGTATCTTGAACTGGTGTTTGGCTTTGCAGTTCTATGAACAGCAGGTCTTATTTGGGGCCCTAAATCCTGCTGAGAGTGAGCTCAGTGCCCTCCTCCCCCCACCCCAGAGAGTATCATCTGCTGGAACTCTTGCTGTTTATTATAAAATGAAAAATGCATTTGGAGACTACCTCCTTCCACCCCTGAAAAAGGTAAAGTAATTCAGTAATCCCCAGAACCTCTACAGCTGTTCAGACCACCAAGTATAACATACTAGGATTTTTTTTTTTTGAGGGTGGGGGGGGTCCGGTTGTGGGGCCTGAACTCTGGGCCTGGGCGCTGTCCCTCAGCTCTTCAGCTCAAGGCTAGTGCTCTACCACTTGAGCCACAGCGCCACTTCCGGCTTTTTTCTTTTTGCTTATGTAGTGCTGAGGAATCGAACCCAGAGCCTCAGGCAAGGCAAGCGCTCTACCACTGAGCCACGTTCCCAGCCCCATATTAGGATTTTGTTAGGAGCAGCTTTACTTTTGAAGAGCCATGAGCATCTTAGGTCATAGTTTTGGGGAGAAGCAGGGTCCCACAGGCCCTCTTAATACCACCAGTGCAGATCATCTGTCTCATTTGAGTCAAACAGCTGAGACTGCTCCCATGTTGGGGGCAGCAGTAGAACCTTGGAATGTCTAGGGCCTCGTGGTGGAAAAACCTGGAAGTCAGTGGCAGAAGCAGCCCTTTGACTTCCTTACACACCTGTAACCTAAAGGACAACTTACCTATCAGATACTTCCTTGTCCATCTTCTGAGCATCTCAGATTTCATAGTTTTTCCAGAAGGTTCTTAGCAGAACGTTTTAAGGTGGAATTTTCAGAGCAGACCCTCCCAAGGGTCCCGTTGTATAAGGCAGGTTGGAGGTCTGCCTCTATGAACATTCTTAGTGTTCAGAAGATTTCACACAAAGACCATTTGGTGGGGCTGGGAAGGTGGCTCAGTGGTAGAGCGCTTGCCTTGCATGCATGAGGCCCTGGGTTTGATTCCTCAGCACCACATAAGCAAAAAGAAAAAAACCAGAAGTGGCGCTGTAGCTCAAGTGGTAGAGCACTAGCATTGAGCTGAAGAGCTGAGGGACAGCGCCCAGGCCCAGAGTTCAGGCCCCACAACCGGACCCAAAAAAAAAACAAAAAAAACATTTGGTCTTTCAGTGGGATATTAATGTTGTACATATGCATAGGTTCTTAGAGAGGTTTGTCTTGGGGTTAAGTATTCAGTCTTTTAATTTATATATATATATATGCATATGATACATATATGGTGTGTGCACATGTGTGCGCATGTGCGCTGGTCCTGGGGCTTGAACTTGGTCAGGAAACAGTCCTTGATATTTTTTTGCTCAAGGGTAGGCCTCTACCACTTGAATCACAGCTCCACTTCTGGCTTTTTGGTCATTAATTGGAGATAAGCGTCTCATGGACTTTCCTGCTCCAGCTGGCTTTGAACCTTGAACTTCAGATCTCAGCCTCTTGAGTAGCTAGAATTACAGGCATGAGTCATCAGCATCTGGCTAGTCCTCAGCTCCCCACTTCCACTCTTGCTGTCAGGCTTAAACCTAGGGCACTGTCCTTGAGCCTCTTTTTGCTCAAGGCTAATGTTCTACCACTTCTGAGTGGTTAATTGAAGAGTCTCATAGGGATTTTTCTGCTGGGGCTGGCTTCAAACCATAGTGCTTAGATCTCAGCCTCCTGAGTAGCTAGCTAGGATTGCAGGTGTGAGCCACTGGCGCCTGGATAGGTCTTCAGCTTCTTAATGGGGAAATCTCCCCAACACATGCACATGTCCAGATAGAAGAGTAGAAGGTTCAAATTCTTAATATGCAGTTCTGTTAGGATCATCAGGAAGATTCTTTTCATCTTTTCTTCAGAATAGTAAAGTCCTAAAGCTTTTCCAGTCCCTTCTAACCTTTTTCTGGATTGAAACTTGGCTATGGACTAAGTGTGAGAGGCCTAGCCATATCCTGAATGGTACTGTCCCAGGCTTTTAATTCAGCTCAGTTCATCTGGCTTTTTTATCTGTAAAATGAGGATGATGACAACTTAGGAAGCCTATTGCAGGTAACTTCAGTGTCTAATACAGCCTGGTACAGGATAGATATTCAATATGGGTACTTGTTTTTGCATGTAACTGGATCTCTTGATGGGTTAGGGGCTAGGAGTTTGGTACATTTTGAAATAGACTGTAACCTTCATGTACTTCAAACCTAGTGGAGACCTTAGACCAGGTGTATAGTCATAGCCAGGAAGGTAATTGTCAAGAGCATTCTGAAGGAGCATCTTACCCACTGTGGAGTGTTGGAAATTTTGGGGAGGAAGTAAGATGGAAGTTGAAGGGTTAATTATTAACCACGCAAAGAAGAGTGTGTCACCTGGGCACTGTGGCACATGCCTGTTATACTAGTTGCTCAGAAGGTTGAGATCCAAGGATTGAGCTTTGAAGCCAGCCCAGACAGAAAAGTATGAAACTTTTTTTTTTTTTTTTGGTCGTCATGGGGACTGGGTGCTGTCCCTCAGCTCCTTCAGCTCAAGGCTAGCGCTCTACCACTTGAGCCATAGCTCCACTTCCGGCTTTATGTGGTGCTGAGTAATCAAACCAGGGCCTCATACATGCAAGGCAAGCACTCTACCACTGAGCCACCTTCCCAGTCCCTGAAACTCTTATCTACAATAACCACCAAAAAGCTAGAAGTGAATGAAGCTGCAGCTCAAGTTGTAGAGTGCCAGCTTTGAGTAAAAAAGCTAGGGTACAGAGCCCAGGCCCTAAGTTTAAGCCTCAGTATCAGCACACAAAAAGTACGTGTTTTGGCGGGGGAAGCACATAGCAGAGGCTTTGGCAGTGGCAGCCATCAGTACCTAACCATAGGTAAAGGGGATGGTTGCAGTAAGACAGATGGAGTTCATTATTAGAGACTGTTGGAGGCTGCCATGGTGACACTATGGATTAGGGCTTAAGTGCTACTGTTGTATTAAGGGCTCTCCAGTTCTTTTCCTGGCTAGGCTGTTCCAAGTATGTAGAAAATTCAGTATCCCTAATCTCTGTCTGCTAGATGCTACTAGCACTTTCTTGACAACCAAAAATGTTTCCAGACATTGCCCAGTGTCCCAGGGAATGAGGGTTTCAGGGCAGTCTTTCCCAGTTCAGAACCACTGCTTTAGGGTTCTGGATTCTCTCACTACTTTTAAGTCTTCTAGCACCTGGTTTATTTGGTATGTAGGAGGATGTGAACATTTGCATGTTAGGAGTGCACCTCATCGAATTCTGCATATAGGAGGAATTTTTCTCACTTTTTCTTTTCTTTTTTTCTTTTTGGTAGTGTTGGTATGGACAGGAGTTCAACCCAGGACCTCCCTGTTGCTAGGCAAGCACTCCACCATTTGATCTAGCCCCTTCTCTCACTTCTTGGTTAAGATCGCAGCCCAGCAGTAAGGAGCAGTAAAGTTGCAGGTTAGAAAGGAGCTTCCAGGCACTAATGGCTTGTGCTTGTAATCCTCCTACTTGGAGGCTGAGATCTGAGGATTAGAGTTTGAAACCAGCCTGGGCAGGAAAAGTCCATGAGACTTATCTCCTATAAGCTACTCAGAAAAAGCCAGATGTGATGCTGTGGCTTCAGTAGTAGAACACTAGCCTTGAGCACAAAGGCTCAGGGATAGTGCCCAGGGCCCTGAGTTCAAGCCCCAGGACTGGTAAGAAAAAAAAAGGGAGGGGCCTATGAAAGCTGGTATGCTACAAATGTAGATGGAGTTTAGAATTGTTGTCATCTGACTGAGTCTTCGTTTGTTAGAGGCAATAGTTTTCTGTATTTGTCCAAGGCGACATGGCAGGAATACAGTTTTATATTTAATAGTGTCAGCAGGGATGTTGCTGTGTGGCAAACATTGACTCAGCA